GGTCCCATTCGAATTTTACCAAAATGGTTTAGTAGTTTAGTTTTTAAATAAAAATAACTGATTTTGTCACAAATGAAGTAGTTTTTTTTTTGGTTGAATATAGTTTCATTATTTATATTAGCGTTATACAATATCCTATCCTAGTACTTATTATTATAATAATAATCTTTATTCATTTATCTTTTATATAGTTTAAAAACGCGAGCTGGGACATTCTTAATATGAAAGTCTGCATAATTGTTTGGAGGTTTGTTACTCAATCACGCTTAAAAGGCTGACTGAATTTTATTGAAATATGGTACAGGAGTAGGTTACTTCCTATTTTAACATATATTTGACCAGAGGGTGACTTTGTACACGAGTCGTTTGCTTAGGCACCTCTGTACCATTCGTGAAGCAGTTGTGTCTGCATGGCTATGTTTCGGTTTGAAGCGTGGGATATAGCAGTGAATTCACAGCCAAGACATTGCCATTCCTGAAGACTAAGGTTTTACCTTAGTCTTCAGGAATGGCAATGCATGGGAGTATCATAGGCGAAACAGTTTACTCTGTTACGTCCATGGTACTATTCATGTCTATAGGCGACGATTACTACTTTCCATTAGGTGGGCTGTCAGCTTGTTTGTTTTTCTAAGTTGCATAAAAAAAACTTTATACATTTATTTATACAAATAAAGTCGTGGGAAACAGCTTGTCGAGAATGAAATAATGAAGCAATAAACACAATAGATACCCTTGCATAATTAAATCAAGCTGTTATTTATTATTATTGTTGAAAGTAATCTTTTCAAAACAATTATAGAGTAATAAATTAGCAGTTGACAATCGTGACTATATGTAATATAAAATAGTCTATTTTTTACACCTCAATAATCACCATTCCTGTTCAAATTACACCCTACATTCTGGCGAAAATCCTCAAACGAACGAAAAAGAACGATTTTGAACTAAGTGAATTTGCATACATGGACATCTGCGATACATTTTTAGGTCGTCGCTCTGAACATTACGGAACATTGGGGAAATCCCATCTAGAGATTATTTTTTCTATATTTTGTTTATTCTAGTTACGTGATCGAGCTATTGCTATTTCAGCTGATTCTTCGATTTATTGTTCATGAATAGACATTTATTGTGATGTGATGTATGACACATGTGCCGTTGCACATCTTGCAGAGCACCCCTTCGTATCCCGTGGGTACCATAAGACTAAGGGAGGACGAGAGATGGACAGCAACGTCCCTCTTGTAATATGTAAATGTAATGTAAATAGGACTCTATTTTCCGCGCTTAGCCTCTCATTTAGGCCGTTGTGTGTATGACAACGTACCTCTTAAAACATCTCTAAAGCCTGACTGCGATTGCCAATCCGCCTGCCAAGCGAGGCAAGTGCTGGCAAACCCTCCAAAGGGGAGGTTTATGTTCAGCAGTGGACAGTTGAAGGCTGATCTGATGATGATGATGATGATGATGTGAACACAATGTGAATAGATATTTACATCGTATGTTGTCTGTGTTAATACCCTAGATGATGATGTATTTAGGGCACGAGTGCATACATAATTATGATAATATATTTTGTAATACAAAGTCACAGGATTTAATTTCAAATAAATTTTTGAATTTATTTAAAGTGAGATAGTTAGTTGGTGGTTTAGGACCGTTGCTTATGGTACTCTATGGGGGAGGCCTATGTCTAGCAGTGGATGGATAATGGCTGAAATGATGATGATAATGAGATAGCTAAAAATAAAATAAATGTAAAAATAAAAAAATAAAATAAAACGAATCTAACATATTCCTACTAATATCATAAATGTGAAAGTGTGTTTGTTTATTTGTTATTTACTTCTTTACACTTTAACGGTTTAATATCAATATATTTAAGTAAATTTCAAACGGATAATAGTTATTAATATGTAAAATATATATTTTGCATATTAAAAGCTTTTAGTTTGGTGTTAAACATGAGTTCATGATTGTACCAAATCTATAACTTTCTCCAAATTGTTGCACTGATATTTATAAATGACACAATGACATTTTGAATGCGAATCAAATAGATAACAAAATATATTGGCTGTCACAATTTCGAGTACCCAACAATAATGTCGCAACTGTTATTTAATAACACGATTGACATAATATTATTTGGTTATTAGTGACGCCATGTTTGTTATGATAACAATGGTAGACGCCGCGTCTATTTAACATTGTCTTTTTGGGACTGCGACTGTATCTGGCATGTATTAGAAAAAAAAAAATGTAGAATCAGATAATACTCGATAAAACCAGTTAACTAGTTTTGCAGTTAGTTCATCTCGTGACGCACTACTTTTTGTGCAAAACAATCGCGAGTTTTATCTATTTTCAATTAATTGTTTCAAACGAGATAAGTCAATAATTTTTTATTATATAGATTATAATCATTTACAGTACAGTTCAGTGACAGAGCAAAAATAGTTTACGTACCAAAATTAGCTTTTCAAAATTAATTTACAGAACTGGATACTGTTGTGGATAGATGGTCGTCCTCCGTGGCGCAGCGGTCAACACGCCTGTCTGCGACGTGGAGGCCCCGGGTTCGATCCCCGGCCAGAACATGATGGAAAACGATCTTTTCCTGATTGGCCTGGGTCTTGGATGTTTATCTATATATGTATCTATTATAAATATAGTATCGTTGAGTTAGTATCCCATAACACAAGTCTCGAATGTACTTTGGGGCTAGCTCAATCTGTGTGATATATTTATATTTATAGATATTATGAACTGTGCAGAGATAACACCCATTATATAAAGTACTTTAATGTTGTACATATTCCCTTCTCTTGAGATATAGGTGGACACCTTCCTCCTTGTTCTTTTATTTACTTTCAAAATTTTTCTAAATTTTAAACTAACATATCTTTGTTTTTTTTTTTTAAACTTAAAAATATCAAATATAAGTATCAAAGTGCATTGTTGCCGAATATGAAGTTTCCAATATTTATGTTAGTGCGTGCAGTGCAGTAAATATGTAGTTTGTTTATTAAGAGATTTATTAATTGCCAATTTAGCAGTGCACGTACCGAGTTAATGTGTCGCTCCATTATTTCTTATAGGTACGTTTCTGTGTTTGTTGTTTTGTATATAAATTCATATTTATCTCATATTAATTGTAAGTTGTTAATCAGTTAATTTATACGTCACTACCAACCTCGGTGTATCAATTCATCTCGCAACGCCGAACACAGTACTTAATTAAAAACGCCTATTAGGTTAACTAATGTGAAATGAGCATTGCGTTTAAAACTGTAAGGAAATATTTTATCATAAACAACGTTCTGAATACTTTTTATATCAGCATAGATATTGACAGGATTGAATAAAGCAATGTATGTGAAATGTGTTTTGTAATTTTCATACATTCTTTAATCGATTGGAATGCAAGGAAATTTTTGCACGTACGTGGTATTTTGCGAAAAGCGATAAAACCACGCGTGGCACTATAAAATGAACTTTATTTATACAACATTGGCGTCTCGTGTCGACATTTCCATAAGGTTTCATTATAAACATCACATTTTTTGTTCAAGGTTGATTACAATCGCCTGAAACGATCACATCCGTTCATACATGCAGCGCTAGTAATAAATATAACTTTAATATATGATACACATATGGCAACTCTCGATACATTACGGACGGCAATTGTATGGTAATATTAAATTGAAGTAAATATTGTTAAAAATAGCTAAATATTGGTAATAACTTTGTCACGGATTTCATGTCTGAATATTAAGTAATTTCTCGAAATAACATCGAAAAAAAAAGATAACAGTTTTGTACCTATGTCTATAAATTTTAATAACTGCTCCATAAATACACTTAAATACACACAGACATGAAAAACACTTGAAATCTTAAGTGAGAAGAAAGATAGAAACGTATATAATACAAGGCATTCGTGCAACCATGTTACTCATATAGATTATGTGTTTGTATATACCTATTGCCGATAAAATACACAGTCTTGTTCTAAATCGTTATGTGGGCGAAGTTATATATGAAATAATATTGTATTGTCCGCACTAGAACTAACGTAACTTAAGCAATTTTACTGTAGTTGTCTGAAGAAAAATCTGTTATTATATTCAACAATTTTTTTTTTAGGCACTTATTTCTTTTTTTTTTTATGAAGAAGAGAGCCAACTACTACCTTGCTGAGCAACGAGTTTGGTACAGGTTTTTATTCTCTTGCATCGGTGTACCTATTTGGGTTTTATTATTCCAGTTATTTTTTACGACATTCTGAAGGGGAAAAACAAAGGTCATATGATGTATCTCTTTGATGAGTTAAGCATTAAGGCAATACTGGTTATTTGAATAGAATTATTTTCTTTAATTCCGCTACCATTAGTATGTGTGTGATTGCAACATTCGAAGATTAAACACTACTATTACTATCAGATGATCCACAACCTTTCATATAAGCCACCATTCTCTGCCTGCCATTTTGTTCACGCTCGTTTTGCGACATGTTTCACTTCTAAGCGAGGCACCTTTAGGTAAATTATTAGATCGCTACTCGGAGCCTAAGTTAACCGTTTGGTAGTTTTTTAGCAGTTTGGGCGCCGAACGATTTGATCTCCTTTATATTTGCCTAGGAAAATATTTTCTCAATAGGCAAAATGTCTATGGTTTGTACAAACTTTAATAACAGATTTCATATGCAATTACGTTTATGCCAGGGTGTTTTAAACCTAAAGGCGTACCTTTTCTTGTTTCGAAAGAAAAAAACAGTAAGATCCCTAAAAGTGAGGTTAAAAATACTTCTTATGCGAATTATAATAAGATTTAATTTGCATAATCCGAATTTAACACGCCTTTTGTGCTAAAACCGTAATAAGGACAAACATTTACGTTAGAGGATTATATAAAAGTACACATGATTCGTGGACTGGCCGTGCCCCTAAAACCCTTATTTTAACCTCGATGGTGTGTGCTAAAATACTGACCGTCAACTTTGGTATGGTGTGGTGAACTTGGCGCGGACTCGACGTCTGAATGCAAACTGTAGGAGTGTTCTGTCTTTATTGGTGCCGCGCCCAGCGCAGCGTCTGTCATCAGTCTGTCGTGCAACACCACACCCGATTTAGAGTCTCTGATCAACCAGTCGTTCATTTCTGTGTCTTCATCTAGAACCTCTTGCATGTCCTGGAAAGATTAGAAAAATATTTTAATAAATATAGAATAATTTGCATGGGTCCTTATAAAGTCGAGCACAATGTAGTTTCAGAGGAATTTTACTTCCATGAACATTTGGGTTGTGGATGACCTTTCAATAGACAGTCGAATAGAATATAAGGGTAGAGGCCTTTGGAAATTGGTTATTACTTAGCATTCTGTACTAGAATAATCTAGATGTAGTAATAATTATAAAGTGAGTAAAAAAATATCAAAACTACTTTCTTTTTGCGAAGTTGAGTAGTTAATAAGCATTGTAGGTATTTTGAGAGACTTAAATATCAGTCTGAGTATAATTATTTTCTACGTTTGAATTGAAGGTTCGTTTCTACGTAGAAAAATAATGACGAATAAATCAACAACTATTGTATTTCAATTTATTATGTAGAGTTCTCACAGTTACAAGCGTCCAAGGTGAAAGGACGCTTACAGTTCCTTTGTAATATAATATTCATTATGGAGATGATGTAAGAACTATAAAACAGAGAGATACTGGTAACTCGCGAGGTCAACAGTACTAGCTATTAATTCGCGCATCTCTAACGTTTTCGGCGCGGCCAATGTTCGCGTCCCTCACCTTGGCCGCGAGTGTAAATACGCAAGTCACAAATAGAGGAGGTACGGGCGAATGGAGTGAACGAACGGCCCTGGTTTGCCGAACACGGTCGCCGACCCCATACGCTTTCCGAATGTTAAAGTCTTCCGAGATAGGGGTATATCGATAGAGGCTTAGATGGTGATTCGTCTGAACGGAACTCATCAGGTTTGATGACTCGCCACAAAGTAGAAAGATATGCCAATGACTGTTTAGATTTAATTTACATGAAAAATAAAAGAAAATATCTGAAATTGCAGGCAGGTTGATTTAATAATATTTTTGAAATCAGCAAATCCTTTATAATCACAGCTCACAGTTGAAAACAAATAACTCTGGATAATAAATTAAGTCTTGGATTGTTTTTTACTCAAAAATTGTTTTTTAATCTTTATTAAATTACTAATTACACAAATTGCAACTAATGTAACGGGTACAATATTAACACACTACTTAACTTGATTTGATTTTGGTTTGCATAAATTACTAGCTTTATCTAGTTTGGACGATTTTATAAGTTAGTGACAAATAATTATTTGTAAAAAAAATACTCTATGGATGAGTTCTGTTCGGATGAAATGCCACATAGTTGGTGTGGACTGTCCAATTTACATAACTTTAAAGCCTTACTATATCTTAGCGGCCATTAGAAAAGGTAGATGCGTATTATACGCCAAAATATGGCGCAAGGGTATTGAACTTGTCAGTTTGTGATGCTGGACTCGTGGTGGGAATGGATGTGCTGATCGTGACGGTGGTTTTAATTCCGGTTCAACCGCGTGCTTGTCTATGGCGGAACAATGAATAATATTGTCATTGCATAAAATTAACAGTAGCAATGTGGCAATGGTCACGTACTATGTACAGGATTCAGCTAATTATAGGCTTAAATTATAGCATATAGCTATTAATCATCTGTGATAGCGTTAACTATAGCGAAGCGTATCAAACAGTCAGCGTTGCGTGTCACTTTTTTTATGTAAATATGTTATGTATGTACCTATTTAGTTTTATTTTCAGACTAACGGTTCTCTCGGCTTCGAACGGCTTATTTACTACACGTTATAACGTAGCTTTCTATAGTTGAAATAATTTAAAAAATCGGCTTAGTATATTTTGAGAATATCTATTATAAACATTTCTACCAGAGGGAGACTTTGTACTCTATCCTATTCGTGTTTCAACCGTAAATCAGTTGTGTTTATATGGCTGTGTTTCGGTTTGAAGGGTGGGATATGGCATGAATTTACTGGATACAGAGGAATAGCATCTGAGTCCTCAGGAATGGCAACGCATGGGAGGTATCATGCGCGAAACAGTATACTCTGTTATATCCGTGGTACTGCTCATGTCTATTGGCGACGATTACCACTTTCCATCAGGTGGCCCGTCAGCTTGTTTGCCATTCTAAATTGTATAAAAAAAAAAAAAACTATAAATTTCTTTTAACTGCCTCCTATTTTTGTAGCAATCTAAATCTTATTTCAGGGACGTTTAGTTACTGTTTTGTATTGTTTTATTGTGGTCATTATCAGGGCCACTGTGATGGTCCATTCAATTTATTAAATCAATTATATTAAACTACTTGTATGTCGTGGAATTCTTTTTTTAGTCATCTGTCTGTTACTGTATATGTCATTAATTTATCAACAAGCCTGTTAGAATATATGTCTAATTTCTTCTTAAATGAATATATAATTTCTATTATTTCCTCCCTGACTAGTCGTATTCCAAGGTCTTTAAGAATTATTTCACTAGGTAGGTACTATGGTGTGTTGCTTATAATTTTTAAAATTTTTGATTCTATATATTGGTTTCAATATTACTTTATATAATAATATTTTATTTGAGAAGCTTATCGGAGTTTTGCTATTGGTCATACATTTTGCGGAGTTATAGTCTTAACTGTTGTATAAGTCGCAAGTCCGGGCCCCCCATAGAGTACTGCTCTCATCTGTAGGCTGGAGCACCTGGATACCAGCTTGGTCCTTTTGATTCAGTTCAAAAACGAGCTATGAGAATTGTTGTTGTATGTTGAATTGTTGTGTATCAAATTTCATTCAAATCCATTCAGCCATTACAATGTGATTAAGTCCAAAACATCCAAACATCTTTAAAAACTTTCATATTTATAATATTTGTAGGGTTTAAACAGTCTGTTTACCTACTTAAATCATTTCGTTATAACATTATGTGAACATTAATGTAGAGACATATTTATGATGTTTTCGGAGAATTGTGTTTTTGGTAAAAAACAAGTTAGAATAAAACATGTGAGTATTTGGAATGTTTTGTATTACATATGTTTTGCGCTATTAAGTAATTTACTTTATTAATTTGCTCCAAATTACTAAAAAATGCTATGAAATAATAATATAAACGAGCGTGCTCGTTTGGAACAGTTGGAATAGAAAATGAATTAAATTTTCACGTGACCATACCTAACATTACCATAATAAAATCTATTGTCTTTTAAAATACACTTGTTAATACTGTCCAATAGTAGATATAAGTATACTCCTTAGTGGAAGACGGGGGAGGGGGGGGGGGACAGGAATTGTTAATAATACGGATTACTCGTTCCATTGCTAGCAATATGTCCAACCGGGTCGATGTTCACGTGGTCTCCTCGGAAATCAACGTGCTGAATTCCAGGTGGCTCCACCTGATAGAAAGTGGTAACCGTCGCCTATAGACATGAGCAGTACCGTGGATATAACAGAGTATACTGTTTCGCCCATGATACCCCCCCATGCGTTGCCATTTCTGAGGACTCAGATGCTATTCCTCTGTACCCAGTAAATTCACGCCATATCCGACCCTTCAAACCGAAACACAACCATGCAAACAACTGCTTCACGGTTGAAACACGAATGGGACAGAGGTACTATCATCATCATATCAGCTAGCAACTTTGAAGATGTTTTAAAAGGACGTTGCTGCCTATCTCTCGCTATCATACTCTGTTATGTCCATGGTACTGCTCATGTCTATAGGCGACGGTTACCACTTTCTATCAGGTGGGCCGTCAGGTTGTTTGCCATTCTAAGTTGTATAAAAAAAAAAAAAAACTCCCTTAGTCGCCTCTTACGACACCCAAGGAAAACGAAGGGATGGCCTATTTTATGCCGGGACTATACAGCGGCTATAGTATCAGCAATAGAAAAGAATATTTACTGTCTTAAGCTATAAGTTCTTTTTTATCTTTTTTTGTGTATGTCCTGTGTTATTCGTGTGCTGTGAATAATGCAAATAAGTTATATCTATTTATAATTTATCTATCTATTTATTTACACATGTTTGGGTATGCTCACAGTATGTATTTATACTGTGTATTAAAATTTTAATAAAGAAATACATTTTCAAATTATCTTAGATGTTGGCTTAAATTAACAGAGAGACATTTAATTTTAATTTTGGTTTTATGATAAAACGATTGAAGTAATTTTCCACGCCACAGTCAAATTATCGTATACCCTATAGCTTCTTTAATTAACGAACGCTATAATTTCCTAATCTGACTCATTTTACATACAAATCATCATTCGGAAATGTCAACAAGGTTACAAACCTTATTAAGGTCTGTGACCTTGTATCATAAAAAGACATAAATTTCCAAGTATCTATTTTCAATTAAAATATAGATCAATAATATTTTTTCCCAACTTTTTTAGAATTTATTATCGCCATATAGATCTGACTTGCTGTATCTCGCGACTACACTTGCATAAATCAGTAGGTACGAAAAGTATCCTATGTGCTAAGTTAGTTGAAAATAACTTTATACCAAATGTCATTCAAATCCGTTTAGTTGTTTTTACGTGAAAGAGTATTTATTATTATTGACAGACGGGCTTTTTTAGATAGAAAAACCTGCACACTTCACGACACTGCGACCTTTCCATGATCTTTTGTGCTCGCCCTTTTTTAAAGTTCTTTTTTGTAGCGTCGCCTTTTATCTCTTCAGGATATAAAGTGTATTTACCAAAGGAATATAGTTTATGTATGAGTGGGCTACAGCCACAGATTAAGTGCTGCGGTGTTTCTTCCTTATTGTGATAAAAAGTGCAAACTCTGTTTGGGTATAAGCTTAGTTGGGCCATGTGCTTGTTTTGTTTGCAGTGTCCAGTGAGAGCTCTTGTATTATTTAAAAAAATAATATTTTCTTAGAGTAATTTTTGAAACCTCCTTAATTAGGGCTTTCGATAGATTTGATCCTGACAACAAGAGCCAGCTCAAAATTAAAGAATAATAAATATTCATCCAATCATACATCCATTTATCCATCCATCCATCGTTACAAACTATCTCATTTATTTATATTAATAGGATATAGATATGAAATTTACCATTAAATACAAAAAACAAGCATCCC